AACAAGGGTAACTTCCTTGTTCCTTACTCAGAAAGGTTCCTGAGTTGTTTTGGTCCCAAGCTCTGTCACTAAGCATGGCCCTCTAGAAAGAGCTGTAGCCCAGTGTACCTTTTTCTTAGGTAAGTTCATTTTTACAATATACTGTTGCACATTGTACCTTTCCTCTTTTTTTATTTATCAGATGCATAAGTTAATGATGATCTGCTAGCACTTTAAACTCCAAAGTTTTTGTGAGCTTATTGAGTAAGTGTTGCATGTGTTTCCAGGTTTCATTCATTCATGAAAATCGATGGACTACTCCTGGCTAAATCAAAAGACCTCTCATTGACTGTGGTTAAAGTGTGTGCCAGTAGAGTTGCTGACCATCTTCCTTTGCAGTCACTTCCTTTTTGTTTGAGCTTCTACTTTTCTGTAAGGTTTTTTCATATTCAAGCAAAGATTTTAAAATATCAAAAGAATCCATCTGAGGTTTTACAGCAGCACCCAGCACATTCAGTGGGTGTTTCTCATGGGTAGTGCTAAGGTGATAGTATTCAAGAAACAGATGGGTTTGTACTGGTCAATGAGCAGACAACCTTAGTGCACAATTTCATGAAGCTTTAGTAATTTACTGTTGTATATCTGTTTTGTGTATACATATGCCTGTGGGAAGGACGAGGTTTTAAATTATTTTAAAAAGGCATCATTGGTGGTATTAGCTAAATGATGTGCATTACCAGGTGTTAGGGGTCTTTAGAACAAGAGAAGCTTCATTTTTTATTTTCCTACATCAAAGGAAAAGAAACACTTCTAGCATAAGCATTGCTTGGTTTACTTTTCTCTGTATTTTGCTAAAAAGAGAAGAAAAATAAAATGCTACTTGACCATTTAAATGCTCTATGTATGTTCAATTTGAACATGCAAACATACTTTATTATTGTTACTGTGTGATAATTGTTAATAGAATGCTACTCTTCCACTGAGAGGGGAAAAAAAAAAAAACAAACCTGCAAAGATGTCTCTGCATGGTTGTTAATACAGTCATTCTTCACATGTGTAAATGTAGTATAAAAACTAACTCAAAAGGAAGAGAATGCTTCTGGCAGGGTCACTTTTTTCAGCTACTTCTGAAATAGCTTAGTTTGCCAAAACCCACTCAAGTGTTTTTTCAGTAAGTAATTTTTTGTTGTGATGGCAAGTAAAGTATCACCTCTACCTCTTTTTATCATTAATATTAAGGGAAGGGCGTAGATTTGTTCACTGATGAGTATGTTGCCACTACAATTTTAAACGCTTAATTCATAGCTGTTTCCTAGCAGTTTAAAAGACAAAACAACCCACCTTGTTGTCACAGGGGTTGACATGTCAGATGCAGTCTGGCTGTTGAATCACTTCACTGCCATTACTCCAGTGCACCTCTAATGTAATCCTACTTCCATTCTTTACAGAAGAAAACTTTATCTTAAATCTAATTTTCTGGAAAGAAAATTTATTTCTTTTTGTATCAGCTATAAAATGAAGTTGAACACTAGGGAAAAATGTGTGTAAATAAGGAAAAATGAATGTATGCCAGCTGCTCTCTTTCATTTTTGATAAGATTTTTAGAATTGATGTTGTTTTTTTCTTTATGATGCATGAATGTTAATGTATTGACCGGGAACCCTTTTCTCTCTAAGACATCTGAGCTTTCTGTAAATTCTTAAAACACTTCATACTCATGCACTCATCTCTGGATGTTGACTGGGCTCTCATGGAGGTTGATGATGATAGGCTCCTCTATATTGTAATGGAATCCAGATCACAGTAAGAACTGTTCTTTGCTACTCCACATCTCATCTATAGCTCAAAGGACTCCTCTCCTCTCTGGAAAGAAGTTAGAACATGAACTGTTTTAACATCACACTTCAGTGTACCATACAGACAGTAGCAGAACATAGTATAGCATGGGTATTCTTCCTGAATTTCAGGATTCCTTTTCCTTAATTCTTTATCTTCCTTCAAGAGAAAATAGCAAAGCCCGCCTTGATTTGAGAGGAATCCTACACCCTCTGAGATGATGAAACTCATGCCTCACATCAAAAGCAGTTTAGGAGTGTGTTCCTTTTTTGTTGTGTTAATCAACATCTTTATTAAACTAAGGCTAGAGCCTGAGTTTGAGTAGTATCAGACAGTTATCTCTGCTCTTGAGTTACTGGCATGCCCCCGCCTTGGTTTTGGCCAGTGTTTCCTGAGCCACAGCCCAGAGCATGGATAAGGCAGGACAAGGGACTGTGTCCAGAAGCCATACAGATAAGATTACCAGGTCTAAGTGGGGAGGTTTATCTGGATGGACACAAGTGTACCACTCTCTTCCTGGCAGATTTTATTTATGACTGTACACACAGCTGTACAGTCCATTCCACAGCATCCAAAATGAATGAGGAGGAGTTTACTGAAGAAGAGGTCATTTGAGTAGAAACACTTATTTTTTACTTATTACTGTGGTCCCTTTAGAAGCCTTTTTGGCAACAGAGCTGGTTAAAACTGATAATCTCCATGTTTTTCATTACACATTACTCCATGTTCTCCATTAGCTTCGACAACCATCAGTCCCTCTGCATCTCTACTGGAAATTCCTATACCAGTAGCTGCTCAGTATATTACCCTTCCTTGTGGTGTTAAGAAAAGTACTCCTTGCAGTAATAATGGGGCTGAAAAACCTTAATCACTAGTGCAATGTTTGGAACGTTACCTCATATAGATTAAAAGCTGAACAGAAAAAGCACCCTCACTTCTATACCAGACACAGGAGTAACTTTATTATCTTTATAATAAAAATCTTAGTGTGACCAGTACAAATTTCTTCATTCAAATGGATCCCACAAGAGTGATATATATGGTGTGTGTCGGGAACATGGGCTTTGGTTTTGTACAGACATAAGATTGTATTAGGTTTCTAAATTACTTACAGAGCTGTTAGCAGAAGACATAGGCCTTGTAATAAGAGTTGTGCCCAGAGTGGAACTGCTTTAAAAACAAGGAGTCTGTTTCAAAATAAAGCTAAATGGAGAAGGTCATGCAAGTTTTCCTTTGCAGAAGTGTGGAGTTTTCCAGCCAGTACAGACCAGTTTCCAAGCTGCCATTTTGCTCTCGGTTTTTTGCTGTGTCATGTGTCAATGTCTGCTCTATCTCCAGAGCAAGTGCCAGGCTCTGACTTTGCAGTTCAGGTGTGATCAAGTTCCTTGTCTTGGGGCTTGCACAAAGATCAGGAAAAACTGATGCATATTCAGCAAATCTTGCAGTTGGAGTTTTAGCACAATATGGGTTGATCTGTTCACAGCACGAAAGAACTGTGCCCAAGGGGTACAAAGTCATCTCACCTCCTGGTTTTTCTCCTTACAACCTGCACCTCAGTGTTTACAGTTATGAGTCTGATCACATGTCTGGATATGGGTCAGAAAAAATGACCTTTCTCCATGAATCAGGCATTGAGTGTCTGGGGGTAGGGAGCGGGTGATGTTTGGTGCTACCCAGCGGGGGGACACCCCGGCCCTGTGGGAGAGTCATGCTGTAGTGCCACACCCCAGTATAGCAACGCTGTGCGTGAGGGCCCCGACGAGGGGAGAGAATGATGCATCTAAATCCATGGATATCAGAAGGCTAATTAATTACTTTATTATACTATATAATTCTATACATCTAAAACTGAATCTGCCAAGCATTCAACCCTGCACACAACTGCACTGAATCTCGTGACTGTCACCCGGCAGTCCTGACACACACACACTTGGCCCTGACAGGCCAAGGAAACAAAACACCATCACTTTGGGTAAACAATCTCCATATTGCATTCTTCTTTTGCACAAACACGGGCACAGCAAATGTTAAGAATTGTGTTTTCTTTCTCTGAGGCTCAGAGAATGTGAATCTCAGAAATGTTCTTGGGAAGAACTGTGCCTTGCTTTTCTCTGTGAAGAGAAATGTGGCTACCCCCCGGGGCTCCCTCCTCCCCCGGCACGGTGGCAGCACAGCCAGAGCTGGCCTGTGCTATGTGCGGGTTTTACCTCACAGGGAAATGGAAAGATGAAATTTAATATGCAAGCAGAACAGGAAAGAAAGCGGATTTCCTCCAGAAATTAAAAAAAAACCCAAAAAAACTACATTTTGCCAGCACATCCTCTTCAACATTCAAAGCAGCACTAAAACCTTTCAGGGTATAAAACAACAGAAAACCTGCATCCCTACATAGAGATTTCATGGGCACAATTGCAGGATTTTTCCCAGTTCATGAAAACTTTAAAACCCCACCTCAAAACCCTCTTCTTCCTTCATTTAACAGGCTTAGTTCTGTTCCTTCATGTGAAGCTTCTAAATTTGATACTGTTTCACTAGGTCTCGTGCTGTCATTTTTGAAGCTTAAGTTAAGTTGGGATTCATTAATACACTTACAAAAAGGAAAAAGGAGAGAATGCCATGGAATGTGCAGGGGAAAGACTAGAAGGACCTAGAGAATAAATAGATAAGAAAACAACTGTTATTTCTGGCTAGTATAGCTAGTCATCACATAGAAGTAAATTTTAGCTCTGGTAAGTTTGTTGGTATTTACAGTGGGTTTCTATATGCTGAAGAGAGGCATTTTGCTAGCGACGTATAATTTTGAAGATGTGATACTCCCACCATAAGTCATCAGGCAAATTCCCTAGTGCTGCTAATTAACTAGTGCATATAATTGCCTTTATTTTTTTGCCTAGAAGTTGTTTTAATTTCAAAATTGACACCCATTTGTAAATAAGCAGGATTACCCTGTCTTCATTTACAAGTAAAGGTTTTCAAACCTTATGTACATGTTTTGGTGGTTGAGACATGATTGCTGACTTGGAGATGTGTTTGGTTTTCTTTGGATGAACAACAGCAGTTTTCTGGGTGTTCTTAGTCTGAAATAACCAAAGAGGGATGGTTTATTTTATGACAAAGATTTTTTTTTTAAATAAAGAGCAGTTACCTGAATATTAATTTTTTCTTTGGTGCTTTTCTCCCTATAGGTTTTATGGCAGGCATACAGAGGAATCCCCAAATGTCACAGTATGGACCGCAACAAACTGGACCTTCCATGTCACCACACCCTTCACCTGGAGGTCAAGTGCATCCTGGAATTGGTAGCTTTCAGCAGAGTAATTCAAGTGGTACTTATGGGCCTCAGATGAGCCAGTATGGACCACAAGGTAAGATGCTTGCTGGTGATAGATACAATAATTTATATATTTTTTTTACAATATTTATATGTATTGTGTATGTGAGTATGTATGTTAAAAACAACAAAAACACACACACACAACACTCTCTGTAAAAAAAAATCCTAAACAAATTAAGCTGTATCCAAAGGTGGAGCTGCACCTGGTGGAAGAAACTGTTTCTGTTATTAGCACCTTTCTCTGTATAAAAATAGTGACCTTAAATTAGGCAAGGAAGTGAAGAATCTGTGGCATTGCCAGGTCTATTGTTAAGGAGCCCAAGCATGTCATCTCTGTGATGAGGCTGCATTTCAGCAAGCATGGAATAAAGGTCACAACACTGCTCCCAAAATAGGACTTCTTTTCTTGGATGAAATCCCAAGGCCGACCTGAAATTGCGTGGTGACTTTGAGGGTAAAGTCTTAGAACAAGAATAATAATAGAGTGGCTACTGTGGAATTAGAATATTGAGCTCTAATGCATATGTGAATCGTAACTAACCCTTCAGACTGAGAGAGACAGTTCCTTTTATTTTGCTTGTTTGACAGAATTGGTGGGGGAGTAAACCAAAACAGAATTCACAATTTCTGCCGCTGGACAACCTTGAACTTGTCTATTGTTTTGCCTTTAATGGATAACCTTTATAAAGTATGCATCTGTTTAGGGGTTTAATGAAGTTGAAGTCAAGCCATGGCATAAATAAGGGTCAGTATTTTCTTTAGAGGTACATAAAGAAGCTTTTCTATTTCAGCACTTCCTACTGTTGCTTTCTTACTTAAAAGCCTCAGAAAGGACTTGAGCCAGCGATGGGAATTTCTGTAGGGCTCAGTGACTCTCCCGTGCTAGCAAGGATGGTTATTTTAGTCTCCTGAGTTTCTGAGAACCAGTTCTGATGTTTGTTTAAGAAGCCTTGCTGCCCTATGCAATGCTCCTTTCTGTTTCATCTCTGGGTAGCGTTTGGTTTAGTGTTCTGAGCACAGGGCTACAAGCCAAGATTTCCCAGTTTCTAATTTTGGCTCTGCCTTTTGCATCATCTTTCAGCTTAGGCAAGTAGATTCATTTCTCTGCTTTGCTTTCCTTAAGTATAAAATGGGACTAGTAATGCCTTATAGCCATGTGTGAAGATTAACTACCTAACTCCAGTTGACTGGTGCTTTCCTTTTATTTGGAAAGCATTTTGTGGCCATAAAATGCTGTCCAAGTGCTTATTTTTATCTGCACAGTGAGCAACTAGCTTAACTGGTAAAAAATCCAGTGGATTTATGATGTGTTATCCTGACTTCCAGCTGTACTGCTGCTGCTGAGATTCCGAAGCATGGGAATAGTGGGTGTCAAGTGCAGTAAAACATTAGCCATCCACACTGATTGAATGGAAAGGGTTTTGTACTAAATCAATGCATTTAAGTAACACGCCAAATACTACTTTCTTTTTTTGCTTGAGTTCAGCAGTTCTTATCCTCCCTCTGTAGATGAAAGTGCCTATGTAATGATTTTATGGGTCATGGTCAGGAAGAAACTGCTATTAAAAAGTGAACTTGAGGGACAGGAAGAAAATGAGCATCATTGTCATTAGCAGGCCATTTCAAAAGGGTTTGGTGAATAGTGTGATCGATGAGAACCGTGTTCTTCTGCCAGTGCTTAGAAAGTACCAGTGATTCTGTGCACTGGTCATCATAAAATTAGGGCATTGCAGACTGTCATCTCTGTAGGTAACAATTACACCAGAGGAATGCTACATTTTCACCAGATTGATCTAACCACTAGGGGTGAAGGTAGTGATATTTCCAAGTTATGTGTTTACCTGGACTTAAGGTTTTAATAGCAGTTTTTCATTTTAAATGAAAGTAATCCATAATTGCAACTCTTAGCATACCCTATTACAAAGCATAATCATATGCCAGCAATGATGAATATATAATAATATTATCCCATTTGCCTTTTTCTGCCAAAATAGGAAATATATTAAAAATTACCTGGGTTGAAACCAAGTTCTGAAATTATTAAATTAAAGTAATTCTCACAGATCTGATTTGCTTTCCATGTTTTGTTCACATAGGCCTTCTTCCAGAATATTGTTAAGCTTAGGCTGGGTTTGACAGGACTACTTGTATTTTCATATATGCATCAAAGCGTTCTGAACACTAAGCTTTTGATCCAGCTTTGAATACTGGATTTCACTGTGTGCTGTCCTGAAAACAATTGCTCAAGGCTAGTGTCCTCTGTGCAGTGGAATTGCTCACCATAGTAAAGACTACACCATTAAGTTTGGACTGGAAGTATTAGCCCCCAGTTCATGAAAGCAGAATGATCCATTCTATGCCTGTGGTTGATTTATTTGATTTTCATGTGTTTACATGACACTTAGAACTATAATAAGAGCAGAATATATTTTCCCAGGAAGCAGTTCTGTACTGGGTCCTAGTCCAATTTTGTGAAACCATTTCCTACAAAAATAATAAATGGCTTTGGCTCCACACTTCTGTGTGTCTGGGATACAACACAGGAGCATACAGTACAGAAGATTAATTTTTTATTAAATCCCAGCATTTTCCTGTCCCCAGGAAATAAATTAAAAAAAAAAAAAAAAAGCAGAGTGAGGATGGAAGTTGTTACTGAAAGAATCTCTTTGGTTTGTATTTGGGCAACATCTAGCTCAAGGGCTAATGAAGCTCTGGTCTATGACCTGAGCATCAGACTGCTGCCACAGCAAAATGTCCCTTAAATGCACTCTGGAGAGCAGTCAGATGCCGTAGTCAGTTGAATCTTTTAAGACTGGGGCAGCGAAAAGCTTCCTGTGAAATCAGTAAAATGTCTCAGAAATGCATCCTGTCTTCCTAACCTTTCCTACTCAATTCAGCAGTAAAGCTGTTCTGTTGGGGTATAACAAAGAGAGAAATCAGTACTGAATTTGTTTGAACCGCAACCCCAGAGCGTCACTGTAAGTTAAACCCCCTTTTGCTTGTGATAAAGTAGTATGAATTGAATATTTGTGCTTTTAATGTTGGACTCATTTCACAAAAGCACTTTGTGTCTAGTTCCCACTGATTTTAATCCTAGATTTTAATTAAAATAGTAGCACTTAAGGGTGAGGTGCCCTTGAGGGTCTGGACCTTTGAATCCAGACCTATGTATGCAAAAGTCTGTGGAGCTAAGGCTTAAATATCAACTGTGTCTTACTAAAGTCCCCTAGGTGAAATAGTTCAGAGGAATTCAGAACAACACATTTAAATTGGCTGTAGAAGAATAGCTTGATAGTTAAGTGCACATGTAAAAAATTCTAGAGCTATTCTAAGATGGTCTTTTTAATACGGTGAATCTGATCTATGACTAAAGCAGAGAGCAAAGCTCTCAAAGTCGTTCTCAAATCTCCTTCTTTTTAGTTTGCCTAGAAACGGCAAGATCTCAGAGCACTTTGTTCAGCAAACCTGAACAAAGTGGACCAGAGTTTCAGCAGTAAGTATGAACATCTGTCTTTGGCAGGTTGTTAGTCAGTTTTTTTATACTTTATCTTCATTACACTTTTTTTTCCCCCTCTTGATTCCTGTTACAGCATTGTTTTTTCCCATGCATTAGAGATGTTGTCTCTCTTGGTACAATTCTGCTTTGCCAAGGGGGAGCTGGAATCAAAAATCCCTCAGATATGGAGGGGCGGAGTTGTTCAGCAGTACTGTGCAGCCGCTGTTGCCAGGCTTGTACCCACTTGAAAAGTGTGGGCTCTTGAACTTGGCTGCCTGACACGTCCAGCTGATGTGGGCTGGCCTAGCATCTGCTGCATTCATTGTGTTTAATGCTGCATCCATCTGTTTTCTGTCAAAGCCACTGCCAACAAATTACTAATCTATTAGAGAAACATGGAAATAAGATTGCACTCCTCATTCCTGGCAATTCCTCTTGTATTTTGTTTGGCTTTTATTTTGCCCTTTTTTTTTTTTTTTTCCTGTGGTCTGGGAAAGGTATAAGAATAGCTAGTATTTGAGGTATCGAGGAAATGCTTAGGGAAAGAAAAAGATGGAAAAAAACATTGAAACTTGTTTTCCTTACTAAAAAGATACGACTTCCCTGTGCATATTGTATCCCTGCAGATGAATGATTAGGAGCTATTTTAAATGAGCCACATATTTTTATGGAGAAGATTCCACTGTTTTTTCTGTGTTGTGTGTATGCTGGAAAAGCCAAAGCACATAAGATTACATTTTTTTGTCCCAATTCAAAATAGCATGAAAACAGCAGTAGTGTTTTAGCATTGGTGTTCGCTCCTCCACACATGCTGCTGAATGTACTTTGTAGACCCTAAATGACAAAACAAATTGTCTTTATGTAAATTGGACTGACAGTAGCTCCCAGTGATCATGGATATCAGGTCTGCTAGTCTAGGGAGAGAATTTGCTTCACTTTGGGAAGTAGTGTTACTAATAGCATGTACATAAAATGTGCTAACTGTTGTGCATAATCTTTGAGTGCATATATACACCATCCTGCTGTATTACAATTTTTTTGCACAAAGCAACTGGAAACCCAGAGCAACATCCAAGTTGTGTGCTGTTGCCTGTAACACATAGCAGAGCAGTGTGAAACTAGTCAGCCCTTCAGTCTGTAGTCACTTTTGCTGGATCAGATGCATGCCTTGAGCCGGTCTCAGCAACTAAAACTCTGGCTGGGGGCGATGGCTCACTGAACAGAGAATACTCAGCTGCCAGCAGCCAAGCCCAGAAGAGGAGGAGAAGTGACAGGGCAGTCTTAAGACAGCATAAAGCTGAATCTGGAGCCTCGCATATCTGCTGAACCACATATTGGGGATCCTTCTGTGAGGACCCCCAGGCAGAAACTTGGATTTTAAGGCAGAGGAGGATGGTTGCTTCTTTTCCTTGGGAAGCGTAGGTCTCATACATTCTTGCCAAGGAGACCTTGTAGTAGAGTGAGTCAGTTACAGACTGGAGAGGAGAATATTAGCCCAAGCATAGCAGCAGAAGCATATGAATTAATTATCTGTGCATTCAAATGATGGATGAATATGTTTATTTTAAATACAAATGGGAGTTGGATGCCACCAGCTCCTCAGCCTGGTAGCTGAGGCCTGAGGAGAGGCATGGCTGGTCTGCACAATCACAGGAAGAGTCCAAGGATTTCTGCCTTCAAATAAGCGTGGGAATATCTGAGAGTAGTGAGGAAACTCTGCTTTGTGGCATCCCACAGGGAGGGAATGGGTCATGTTTCCACTAATCTGGATGAGATGGAAATGAAGACAAGTCAAAACTGATGACTGAAGTAGTGCAATGTGATACGTTTCCTAAAATAGTTTTCCATCATATCTTTAGCTTTCTTTTTTTTTTTTTTTCCCTCTTTCTCATGCTGCCTGGGTTTGTTTCTGTAACACTGCGTGCTGTATACTCATTTTTTCTTGAGATTTCAACGTGGCAGGAGAATCAGCATTCAAATGAGTTAAGCTGCTGCAAGCAGAGCATTCACTCTAGTGACAACACAGATTGGGTTCAGCCAGGTTTTCATGCTGTCCTTCTTAAGGCACCTGCTTATATGAGCATCTTTGTACTGTTGCTGCTTACTTGTGTAAGTTTTCTCAGTTTTCTAGTTTTCTCAGAGGAGTTGCACTGCAATCTACCACTCCTTATGCTGACATAGCCAAACTGAACTTACTAGAAAAGCAGGATGGGATCTTTCTTGGACCCCAGTAGTTGTCCTACCAGTCCACACCAAATCATCTCTGTCTTGTAGGGCAGAACAGTTAGGAGCAAGAAGCCTGTTGCTGAAACTGCAGAAAGACAAAGGAATGACAACATGAAATGACAAAAATAAGATTCTCCCTTGAACTTATATAATGGGCTTCTTACATGCCACATCTCTCTCTACTGCATAAAGCAGTTGTGTACACTGTGCTGTGCTGTTAACCCTCTAGAGGCTGTACTTTTCTTTGTTTCCTGTTGCCTTGTAACATACATTAGTCAGAAAATGTTTGAGGGTACACGAAAATCAGATTCACAGGATCATTCATGTTGGAGGGTTGCTCAAGAGCTGTTCTTGACTGACCTTGTATTCAAATCAAGGTCTGATAAAGGATCAGACCAGGGTACTCTTGGCTTTATCCAAATGGGTTTTGAAAACCTCCATGCAGGGAGTCTGCATAACGTCCTTGGGCAGTTTGTCACTGCTTCTCTGTCCTGCTGTAAAAGCATTGTCCTGACTTTGAGGCCAGCGTGGGTCACTTAAGTTCACATATGTGACTTCTGCAGCTGCTAACTTCCTAAACAGAAACATTTGCTCAAAAGTTTTAATGTTTTTCTCTGTGCTTTTTATCTTTTTGTTCAGGAAACTACTCCAGACCACCGACGTACAGCGGTGTCCCCAACACAAGTTACAGCGGCCCAGGACCTGGCATGGGTATAAATGCCAACAGTCAGATGCATGGACAGGGGCCAAGCCAGCCTTGTGGTTCCATGCCCCTGGGACGGATGCCATCAGCTGGGATGCAGAGCAGACCATTTCCTGGAAACATGAGCAGTATGACCCCCAATTCTCCTGGCATGTCTCAGCAGGGAGGCCCTGGGATGGGCCCACCCATGCCGACTGTGAACCGTAAGGCACAGGAGGCGGCTGCTGCAGTGATGCAGGCTGCTGCCAACTCCGCTCAGAGCAGGTACGCATTCAGGTGAAAGGAGTTTAAACAAGTAGGAAGGTTTTCCTTGTCATTTCTGAAGTAACAGCACTGTAGAGGTGTGTGAATGTGCATTTATACATGTTCTAGCTATGCTTTTATCTCTGGGAGGAGATGGTGTGTCCAAAGAATACTTTTTCTTAATCATCTCTTTTTCTTGAGGAGAAAGCATGCTGTTGCCTGTTTGAATTAGCTTCTCAAAAAGCAGTTGTGACAATGGTGATGATGGCCACTTCTAGTTTGGTTCTTGGCATTACAGCTTTAGGGAAACCTACAGGATTGCAGTGACATTTGACAAGCTCTCTGCAACTTTAAACTTTTTTGAGTTTTTATAATTTTTATCTCTGGTAAAAAGAGGGCCAGCATGTCCTCAGCAGCTTACCCCTGCCAGAGAGTAAGGAAGCCTGTGAAGCTGCCCATCAGCTCTTGCATCTACTTCCCATGTTTTGAGCAGCAGTGCTGATGGCAGTTCTCTTCTGTGGGATGTTCTTGCTCCCAAGCAGGCCTGCAGAAGGGCAGAGGAGGGCAGGCTGAGGGGAACAGCTGGAGGGGAAAGGCAGAGGAGACATAAAACAATCTGTAATTATCTGGAGTTGAACCTGCCACTTGTGCATCTATAATAGAGAACCTCCAGACAGAACTGCAGAGGTTGGAGCCCTCCTCTGCCTTCTTGTCTCCCCTTTGGGCGGCATAGATACATGTTGCCATTTGTATATGGGTTTTGGTAAAAGACACTTTGCTGTCCACGCCATTCTTAAAATGACTGAATATTTGCAATTAATTTTTGTTCTGTGAATTTTTTTAGATTAAGTAACATCCACATTTCCCTGGACTCAAGTAATTCCTGGCATATTTATTACCTTTTTCTGTTGCAAGAAGGTCCATAATGTTTGAGAATTACACAAATCTAGTTGCACTCTTCTGATGAATGTGTTCATATGTGTGTGTATTACTCACTGCGTTTATGCATGTGCATACACAGATGCACATACATTCATCCAGATATTTATCATTCAAGATCAGTGTTTGTGGCCACTAGACTTGCTCTTATTCCAAGATGCAGTGTTAAACAAGAAATAGGAAGCCAGTGTGTCCCTGTATTTGTTACTTTCTTGTGTTGAGAGCTTGAAAGGCAGGTGGCTACTAATGATAAGCAGCCGCAAACTTTTAAAACAATAACAGTTAATTTAGTGTACTTCATGTTCTTGCTCAGTAAAATAGAAACAGGCTTCCTTAAAGCAGACCATACTCCAGCAGATATCTGTGAACCAGCAGTCCCTTTCTTCTGTTGGTTGTTTTAACAGGCCTGTCTAGTAGGATTTATGGAAGTCTGCTTCTGTCTGTCTGGTTTAGGCTATAAGCTGATAGGTCAGGCACGAAGGAATAAATAGGCCATCACTGCAGCTGCGGGAACAGGATTTCTCTATAATCACAGAATGAAAGGAAAAGCTCACGTTTGTTGGTCTTGACAGCAAGAAAAGACTTTGTTAAGTGGAAAGCATTTGGTTGTGATTCAACGTACACGTTGGGCATAGTGTCTGATGTTTGATCAAAAACTGGGTTAAATGATTACCACTTCTATCTCACATTTTCCTCCCATGTAAATTTTGCAGAACTGCTTTTTCTTTCTAGCTTTGACTGGACAAAGCTGCACCATTTCGGAGCATTCCTATCACATACTGCCCATTCCAGTGATCTGGCACCTATGGAAGGGCTGAGCAATCACTGAATCTCTATCACAAATACTGGCAAAAGGGTTATTTTTACACTGCAGATTGGGAGGAACTTGTCACACCACTTTCATGCCAGGGGTTTGGAAGCACACTGTTTTCCTCTTTGATCTCAACTCAACTGTAGGGGAGAAAGCACAATGGCTGTTGGCAATTCCTGCAAGTCCTCGAGACTCGCATATGGAAGGAATGTATTTGACATTGACTTGGATTTGTGATACAGATCAAATGCAGAGAGGTTCTGCTTCAGGCCACCACACATTAGGTCACCTGCTTGTCCAGTCCTGGGCTGGCAGACAGACCATGTTTTCTTCACAGCACCTGAACTGCGGCAGCACTCAGGCTCCCTCAGCGCACCAGCCTGACCAGTACGGGTAGGCAGCAGGGTAAACTGGACTTGCTGTGGGACCTTGGCATTTTTTGAAAATGTTTGTGAACATCCCATCTGGCTGCTGAAGGATTATAAAAATCACATGAAGGATACGGAAATACTTGCATTGTAGAGGGGATTTTAGTTTTTTGGATTCTTTTTGCCAACGCCACTGTGACAGTACAACGAAAATCTGCATGTCACTCACTCAGCACACCTGCATGGCTTTTGGCACAGCTGCATTTCCTTGTGCCTAAAAGGGACTTGAAGAACCTCATCACTGAGAAGCAATGAGCTGTCTCCTTCCCTGACCCAGGCGCCATTTTTCTCTCTTCATTTTTGGTGTTCTTGTCTGCAGCAATGCATGCGGCCACATTTTCTGGACGTAGTGGCATTGTCACTACTGCCTAGGCAGAGAACTGCAACCCCCAAAGTGTGATCCTTTTCTGAGAGATGATGTACTGCTGGAATGATTGCAGGGCTTCTTAATGGCATTTGAAAGGAAGTTTTAGTATGCTGTAGTTGATTGTGCGTGTATTTTAAAAATTAGTCTCTAGAAGAATTTTTAGGAGCATTTAGTATCCCTTGCAAAACATTTGCCTGAAGTGCAACTACTGTTTTCTCACCAGAGTCCTCCACACTGATTTCTGTTACCATATCACAAGTTACAGAACCGGGAGAAGGTATCTATGTTGGCTCCCAGCCTGTTGCTCTCTCACAAACAAGTCCATCTTCACCTGAGATTTAACACTTATGGACTTCCCTGCCACCCTATTATTCCAGTTGTTACCTCTGTAGGAAATCTTTAATCCCCAAATTATTGCTGTTGTCATGGCAGTTATGTTTTAATTACCAGTTTTCTGTAACTGCTAGTTTGGTTTGTCCCTTAATAACATTGTTCATATATGTGTACAGAAAATGCAGAAAGAAAAAAAAATTAGAAGTCTCCTGGTTATCCAGTTCAAAAAAAGAAAATTTAGTGAAATGGGAGAACACTCCCACCACACTATACCTAACTGGGAAGACATCCACTCCTGTATGCCAACATGCATGGACAGTGCCCAGCCTTTTTCTTTGAATGTGTTGAGTTTATAAGATTCAGCTGTGGAGCTGAGAAAGTGTTGCATTCTTATTACTATAAAGCACCCTCCTCTGTGTAGAATTAAGAATAAAATCAAATGGTTATGTCATAGTCATGGTTACACAGCAGTATTTCTGTTCAAGTTGGTTGTGATCCACTTCAAGGTCAACTTTTTGATTCAGTAGCCAAGTATCAATAGGGGAGAGAAGTTTATCTTCAGCTGTTAATCCACAGGCTCTGTCCTTTCCCAGCTCAGGAGTCTCATTTAGACACAGAACGCTGGTTTGCCTCTGCCTTGCCAAGCCACACTAAGCAGCAGCATAAAATGAATTTAAATGGCATGCATCAGAAAAAAAAAATCCCTTTCACTGGGGCACAAAATCAATGTTCATTAAGCAGGGCAGGATGATCAGGATCTGAGTGTCAGCCAGTTATACCTGTGTATCATCCTCAGAGCAGACCACTACCCTTTTCATTAGAATAGATTAAAATCATATAAATTAAAGTGGTGGCTGTGGAAGATACTAGGTTTACACCATTTGAATTAGCCTTTGACCTCATCTTGAGGTCTGCTTTATGTTAAGTTTAGATTAATTTATACAACTACATAATACCTTCCCTGTAACCTAAAATCTTACTGTGTGCTAGGCTGTCTTGGGCATGCATGCCAGGGCTTCCCAAATGATAACTGCCATGTCAGGCTAGAGGAAAGAAAGGTGTTTTTAAGATCTCTTCATTGAATCTCTTCATTGTTTCAGGTTACCCAGGGTGTTCAAGCTTGCTCTGAGTAAAAGTTCACAGCAGGCAATGTTAAATAAATCTCTAGTACCCTGTGTAGTAGTTCACTTTATTTTCAGGAAGAGGGTGTGAAGGAACTGGAAAACAATGTTTTCCTTTTTATATTTGTATTGTCTTGGTCTCAGCATAACCATTGACTTTTGAGGACTGTATGTTGAAGACCTGATAAATCCAAGGAAGAAAGCTGGCCTTGATTGAAACCCCAAGGGCTGGTTCTGCTGCAGGAGATTAGAACCCAGAGGAGACCTTAAAGGACCAGGTGGCTCCAAAAGATGTTTTATCACACTGTGATTCTTAGAACACCACATATATTTATATTTATAGTGATAGCTAAATGTTTCTCTGTGTACAAAACTGCATCACAATAAGCCTTCAGTAATAACAGTTTTAAGCAAATGAGGTACTGTTTTCCCTGTTGATGTGAAAGGCAGCAAATTTAGCCAATATCTTCTAGTACCAGCCAGTGTTGAGCTCCTCAGTTTGAACATTTGCAGGACTATGTGTGCACTGTCTGTGAGCTTTTGCTTCCTACAGCAAGTTCTCAGTTTAAAACTGATGATCAGTTTGGCACCCGAAGTCAACAGCCATCTTTAGAGCTAGATGCTTGTCACCATCACTTCCAGCATCTCTCATGGTAGCAGTGAGTGTTATTCTGAACATGTCTTCTTAAGAGTTGAAAGTGTGACTGTGGTATATGGAAGGGTAAAAACATAGTTGTAAAATGGCTGGCTTGGATGCTGTTAGTAGTGTGGCCTTAGAAAATGTAATTTGGTGCTAGCTGGCTGTAAAATGTGCATCCAAGTGGATGCTAAAATGAGTCTTTTGTTGTTGCAACTACGGTTATCAATAGCTGAACTAATTACAACAAAATGAGTTTTGATGTGCCTGCATGAGGAGCAATCCTATCTTTGAAGGCAGCCCCTTTGACCTCAATGTACCTTAATATGATTCTCAGGATTGCATGTTGCAATTTTGTAAATTAAAGCAATTTTTTTTATAGATT